CAGCAGGCGGACCTTTCATCTAATCTAATGGACACCATAACGTTAGCTAATCCGTTTTATGGTGCAGCCGGAATGGATCTGAACGAGCTGGTGCAGATCTCCACGGCAGAGGCCCACAACAGGGCCTTCCTCAAGGACCTAACAGACGCCTTTGCCAGGTTCTCCAAGCCCATCATCGCGGCTGTTGTCGGATTTGCCGTAAGTTGTTTTCCGCCGCCGTCGTCGTCGTCGTGCGTTTGGCGTCTTGGCTGAGCGGTAGGCCGGTTTGGCGCCCCAAGGCGACTGCCCCCCGGTCCTAATTGCTTTCTTTTCCTCCCTCCAGAACTTGGAAAAACCTGGCTAATGCGCGAGCCTCAAGTTGGGCGGTGGCTGCGAGATTGCCCTGGCGGTAAGTGACATGAGCCCCCCCCACGGTCTTGCTGCTAGGCGAGAAATGTCGCTTTGGGCGTGTATGTGCTGTGCTCATCACACTCGATAGTGCGACATGATCTATGCCGCTGAGGACGCCTCCTTCGGCCTCCCTGAGATCAAGATCGGAACCATCCCGGGTGCTGGCGGAACTCAACGGCTGGCGCGCGCCCTTGGGAAGCACAAGGTAAGTCAAGCCGAGAACGAAGATCAACTTAAAGTTTGACCCGTTGATCTTTATCGACTCACTCTCCAATGAGCTAGCGCACTGCGCCCTAGAGGTAGATTGCAACTAACGGCTGTTAGGCTATGGAGTTCGTCCTGACGGGCGATTCAGCAAGCGGAGCCGAGTTCGAGCGACTGGGCGTGGTCAACAAGGTGTTCCCGCGCGCAGACGTCGTCCCAGCGGCCCTCAAGCTCGCTGAGCGCATTGCCGTCATGTCGGGCCCCGTCGTGAAGACGGCTAAGCAGGCGGTCCTCACCGGTGGGTTCCCTCACTCTCTCTCCCTTTTCTCCATTTGGGGGATGGCTTCCGGATTCCACCTAGGGATCGAGGGGGCGGGTCCCTGTAATTATGACTCGCTAACCCCATCACAGTTGAAAATAGCCACTTGGACGCCGGGATGACCATGGAGAAATCTCTTTACTACTCGACTTTTAGCCTTGGCGATTTCAATGAAGGGATGTCGGCCTTCCTCCAAAAGAGACGTCCCGAATTCAAGCACCAGTAAGTTTCGGGATGGCCCCGCAGCAATCGGTCGCTGTGCGACGCCAATAACGGGGTGGCGCACTGCAAGGGGCGTTGTAACGGTATTTCGACGTCGGGAGCATAGTGCTTGATGACTCGAGCCAACACCAACATGTGCCCATGGCATCACGGAGTCCTTCTGGCTGGGCCCGCGCATTCCACGGTTTCCGGCGCTTGATACGCGCCTGTGGCTGTAGACGTCGGTTGATTAAACTCATGTAACCTGAGTAAATACGGAAGCTGTTGTACTGAGCCCCTCTAGACGTACACTTATTCAAGGCAAAGATCTGTTGAAGCTATGGTAAACTGATCTTGGCACGGATCGTGTCTCTATGCTCCTGCTCGATTGAGGTATCAAGCGAACACAACGGCGGCAGCAACCTGTGCATTGCAGGCTGACAAGTTGTCTCGATGGTAGGCTGGGACAACAATTGCACCGGCGGCTGATTGCTTTCGGGAAGCTGCACAGCTAGCACACAGACTGCTTGCTGGCAGCGTAGCATGCAGCGCATCTGCCGGAAGCATCCGCCACTTTGCGCCATAAGCACATGCTTTTTGATGATTTAAGGACTTGCCATTTCTGTAGAAGGTCCTGTTTCCCCTGTTATCGCCTCTAGGAATACATCACAAAACATGCTGCTTTTGACTCCATACCGTTGCCCTCCGTGCCGTGTCTTGTCCCTGATGTTTTTTCGTACAAACTGCAGCTTCCGTCGGTTGACTGCGACTGCGCCATTTACCCGCCAGCAGCACTGCAACGTCAGACCGTTGTAGTGCCAATGTCAAAGATTGCATTGCGCCACCCGTCTCTCTGATATTCGTGCACTCGGTCGCCTGCCAGGGCCGCCTCCTCGTTCCACATTTTGACGAGACTGCCGGGGGCATAGACCCCCTTGAAGACACCCCGGCCGGGTTGCGCAACGCCCACTCGGGTGTAGAGATCTGGATCCTCCGGAGGCACCAATCTCGCTGCCACGGCCTTGAGGAATGTCCACAAGTCCTGCGGGTCGGCGATGCGGGTAGCCCTGAGCCGCTCACGAGCAAAAAGAAGTTCTCTATTAGCGAAATGAAGCAACTCGCCGATGCTGGCAGCAATCTGGGCTTCCAATGCGGCCTTGACAATTGGTCGTATAATCGGCTTCAGCACCCAAGCGAGGCAGGCGAATTTGCTCTTGCGGAGCGTATAGTCGAGATGGTGGATGCGAACGCGGACATTGTGCAGAGTCAATATATCCTCAAGTCGCTCCTTTCCGACCTCCACATCAATGGCAACATCGATCCCCCGCTCATCAAGGTGGAATCCAGCGATGCCAGCATCGGCTAACCTCAATATTCCCGAATGAAGGCGGAGCCAAAAGCCTAGATCCTCTGCGGCAATTGACAGGCCCGATATGGTAATTCGCATCAGCGTTTTCACTGTGGAAGTCGTCCGGAAGCGGGCCTTGCGAATTTCGACATCATTTTGGGTCGATATATTGATCTTGTAGGGGAGGAAAGAGCTATTGTTGACGGTGCGCCCTGGTTCCAAAATTAGGTTCTCCAAAAGGAGGTCAATTGCCGGTGCTGAAACCTCCAAGCGAGGAATTGGCACGTATTGGATAGCCTGCACCAGCAAGGGGATGAAGACGTTGACAGAGTCCGCCACCAGCTCCCCGTTCGTGTATTGATGGGCAGGGGACAGAATTTTGAGGATTCTTTGGGTGGTGTTGAGCACCTTTTTGATGTCGGCATCTTCAAGCACTGAGTGCAAAGCCAGTTGAACTTTGTCGAGCAACGCGTCGAGATCATCCCTGACGGACGACTCGGATGTAAGCTCTTTTGACTTGGCCCTTAACTCCTTGAAGCGGTCTTCGGCATGTTCGAAAAAGTCGGGGTCCGTCAGCATGTCTTGCAGCAAGTTGCCGATTTGCCTGACAAGTTCGTCAAACTCAGGGTCGCTTCGGCCGTGCTCCATAACAACCTTGAACATGCGTTCGACTTCGTTCCAATGGTTACGATCACCGAGAGAGGTCAAAAAGAGCCAGAAGTTCTTCAGGGCCCGATCCGCCTCGGGGTTGGTGTTGATGTCATCCTGTGCAACTTCGATGGTGTCGGAGATGGCGTGTGAATACACCAAAAGATACCGCCTGATCAGAAGAGACAGCGTGGACACCGAGTCAGAGTAATCTTTGCGGTCGCGCAAGTTGAGGATCGTCTTCTTCAATCGGTGCACGATGGTCTCTTGTTCGTCGCCGGTGACATGATCCACCAGACTCTGGCTGGCTTCATCTGCGACTTTGGCGACGCCATCAGCGACGACTTGAGAAACCTCGACGACCTCATCCTGGAAGTCGTCCTTGGAAGGGGGAGGCTTCGAGTCCCCGTTCGGATGTCGGAGAGCCTCCTCTTCCTCTTTGGAGGGCTCGATTTTCTTGGCGGCCTGCTTGGACACGTCGGATAGGGTGAAGGCTGTGTCGCGGAAAACCTCTCGACCAATGGTGCCGAGGTCCGATAGCAAAAGGCGAAAGTCAGAATTGGTTAACACGAGAGAGCCGACGGTTTGTAAGCTTTTGTATGCTTGGCAATTGTCAGTTTAAAGTCCAGTCAGGCTTTCATCTATTTGACTTTGATGGAACATGGGGTCCTCCCAGTCCATGGCATCCACGGTGTTAAGGTGTCAGTAGGGATCGACCCACCAGCAACTGTATCGGCTCTGGCCCTGGCTTTTGACGCTCGAGCACCAATGTCGTAGGCGTCGATGGACAAGCGAGCTTTCGTCAAGTACCAGATAAAATCTTGAATCTGGTCCTGGTCGTTCTTGTGCAGCAGGAGCTCAATCAGCTGCTTGATCAGGAGCTTGACGTTGAGGATGAGCTTGCGCCCAGAGTCGCTGAGGTCTGGCGTGTCGGGGTTGAGGATGTCGCAAGACAGCAGCGTGCGCAGGTTGACGATGAGCTGCTCGTTGGACGGCATGTATCCCTTGCCGAGGGCTCTCAGCATTTGATACGTGTGCAGCTTCTCGTGCAGCCGCTGCTGGAGCGCCGTGTCGTCATTGTAGCGCGGCAGCAGAGGCTCTCGCTCGCGATCCTCGCGCGACTTGCCGAACCCGAAGCAGGACAGCATCGCGCGCCACTTGATATTGAAGCCGTAGGACGATGTGTTGGATATGCGCGTCAACTCATTCATGCCCGGGTCGGATGTGGTGAATCTCGTCGATAAGAGCTTGGAGGTTGTTGACGTGAAGTCGCGACGAGCAGGCGTGTTGCGTGGTGGAATTCGAAGGGTGACCAGCCCATGACGTAGGTGAGTGCGTCCACAGCGCTGGGCGGAGCTTCCCATCCGGCAGGAGGCACGTGCCATCCCAGACGCAGCAGGAGCTTGGGCCCAAAACCGCCATTGCAGAACCCAAAACTCAGGCAGCCAACCAGCGCCTGCGAATGAGAGACAGCCGATCGTCCCAAATCACAGAGACCCGAAGGCTGCACCTGTGGTTTCACTGCTTCTGATGTGCGAGCTGTTGGGTCGTGTGCTACAGGTGCCGGGATGAATGGCTTTCCGATGACTGACGCCTCAGAAATGGGGCCGTGAGCTCCGGTTCCCCGGCCCCACTGTCTTCCGCGGTACGTCCGCAGATCCTCCGCTCCATGTCCGCAAATCTTGAGCATGCTTCTCGGAGGACTGAGATTATTGTGGTGTTAATAGTTGCAGCAGTGTATTTGAGTATATGTGAGAACGTTATTTGATTCCTGGAAAAATATAGTTGCAGCGCAGATATATACCAGTCTTCAGCACGCTGTTCAGCCCTGAATGAGAATACCTTGGAAAAGACAACCAGAAATTCGTACTTGTTTCTTGAACCTCCAGAACCATGGCAAATGTGTGGGATCCAGAAAAGAACATTCCTTCACTACAGGGAAAAATTTCTGTCGTCACTGGCGCAAAGTAAGTCAACTCACCCACATTCGACAAGTCTCAGCTGACAAAATCCCTGCTACAGTAGCGATATTGGGCGTGAGACAGCCAGATATCTTGCAATAAATGGCGCCAAAGTGTATCTGGCGGTGCGATCCGAGGCCAAAGGTGTGCAGACACGAAGGCTCATTCTAGACAAGAGCCCCAAGATCGAGCCGCAAACTATTCAATGGGTCAAGATAGACCTTACGGATATGCGCAGCATCACGGCCGCGGTCGATTGGTTGAAGACTCAGGAGAATAAAGTTGACATATTGAGTATGAGCCCTTACTCGCCTCCGCCTCTGCAATTGCTGCTGACACTAGGGAGTCCACAATGCAGCAGCAGCAACATGGTCAAACGAACCAGTTGGCGCGGGATGGGAGCCTCACATGGCTGTGAAGTAAGTTCAGCGAGTGGAATACGAAATTCTCTTCTGACTAGCAACAACAGTTTCATCGGCCCGTTTGCGCTCACAAACCGCCTTCTCCCATTACTCCAGAGTGCCGCGGCGGAGAAAGACGCCGACGTCCGCATCGTCACACTGACCTCCACCGCACAAGTTGCGATGCTACCCAGTGGCTTCAAGTTCCCCTTTACCTCGCCCGACTGCCTCCGCAACCCAGTCCCGTCGCACCCCTGGCAATGGCGCTATTTCGGCAAGTTCGCCTTTGGCTTCGACATGATCCGCTACGCAGTCTCCAAAGCGGCCAACCTCATTTTCGCGCAAGGGTTGCAGAGACGGCTGGACGAGCAGGGCTTGCCCATCATATCTGTTGCGGTGCACCCGGGAGAGGTCGCCACGGAGGGGGTGTTTTCGATCAATAACGCCATGGCCAGGACCATTGCGCGCTTGACGTTTCTCTCTCCCGAGCAAGGTGCCGCAAACACCGTGTTTGCGGCAGCTTCGAGAGACGTAAAGGAGAATCTGGCCGTGTTCAAAGGGCGGTTTTTGTTGCCGGTGGGAAACATTGGTGTTCCTGCTTCGGTGGCGTCAGATGAAGAGCAGGTGAAGGGGCTCTGGAACACCGCCACGGAGGAAATCAACAAAAGACTAGCGGATGAGGGTCTGCCGCCTTTGCAAGCCTGGTAATAATGAAAGAAGAACATGGCGAGGTACTGGACCATATACGCAAATTTTGTTCCCAATTCATCGCCGAACAGTACCCTGAGCTGCTTACATGTATGAAAAGACCTATTGCTTGTGGCTTGTTCCAAGTCCTGTAATTTTGCTTGCAACCAAATCCGAGGTTCACCATGACAGATATATGGAAATCCTCAATACATGACGGACACACTATCACCAGTGCTCACAACCCAACGTTCTACCTTCTCAAGCCCCCACATCACCGTGAACAGCAGCCTCGCAAACTCATCAACCTCCGCAGCAGGTATCCCGCGCTCGACTAAGCTCTGCCCGTGCAAACTATGCAAAAACAACGGATCCGCCTTCCGAGCGCAAGACTCCCATCGCGCGGACGAAGGTGCATCCCATAGCTCCGCGCGTGCGGTGATGCATATATCCCCGCCGCACGTCTCGGACCACGTTGCCTTGAGAGCGCCGTACACGCCAGTAGCGATGCTCGTCAGCAGGTACGTCCGGCGGATCGACTCTGACAGGACAAACGCCCGATACAGATTCTGCACCATGTCCGTCGTGTCGGCGCCAGCGTCTTCGGGCAACGACAGGGTATTCGAGCAGATGGGCGACGAGGTCGCGTCGAGCGCGGCAGACTCCCAGAGCTGCTGGGCCCACAGGCGGAGCGTGTCGATCAGGCTCTCTGCCTTGGCGCGGCGGGATATGGAGGGAGAGAAAAGGGACAGCAGCAGGTGGATCAGGAGGGCCTGCGTGCGAGCGAGGTGATCCCTCGTGGTGAGCAGGGAAAACGCCGGCTCCGCCGCCGAGTGGCTGGCAATCAGGTCCAGGATGTAGGTCGCGGAGGTGGCGTCGACAACGTGTTCGTTGTCCGGCGTGACGTTCTGCGCGATGGCGATGGCGGCATACGCGTCTTGGAGGCAGCGCGGCATGCTCGATTCGGTGTAGAGATTGCGGTGGATGAATGGATTGTGGCCTTTGCGGAGGAAGCGGACGAGCCAGTCCTGCAGGCCTCGGACGAAGTTGGTAAACACGGCGGCCGGAGGGATGGATCCTGGCGGTTGGTAGTGGTAGGCGATGGCCCAGGAGGGGGAATTCAGGAACCAGCTTAGACGCTCCACGGTGGGGCTAAGCTGATTCGGGCTCGTTTCACTGTTCGACTGATGAGGGTTTGCTATAGAGGATGATGATGATGCCTTGAGGTTGTGGTCGATTCCGAGGGATAGAGTGCTCGGCACATCAGCTGCATGGTCGGAAGCAAAGAAGGTGTCCGCTAGGGCGTCGATACCCTCCACCTGCAAGGCAATGTCGTCCATCTCATCCTGTATTGCGGGCCATCTGGTATCCAAGTCCCAATTGGAAACGGACTGTGGCCCCGGGTTAAGGGAGTCTGTTGGCGGAGGGAGCCGCGACCGGCGAACCGGCGGGTATGCGCAGTCAACGTCCCGATCTAGACATCGGGAACAGGCCGGGAGTGTTCGATCGCAGCGCCTCTTGGCCTCAACACATGGAAAGCAAGATGTCTGTTTTGATCTTCGGCCCATTGTGGTGTACCTTGTGAAGATAGGAAAGAAGATTGGAACGTGATTCGCGTTGCACTAACCACGGAGTTCTCGATGCAGGGGCCGCGAAATAGAGTTTCGCCGCGGAGATATTGCGGAGCGGGGGCACTGTTAGATCGACGGCGAATATTTTATGGTTCCGTCTCAAAACACCAAGAGCTCGATTTTCACATACCTTCAAGTCCATGTCTAATCGATCAACCGCTGAAGGCTGTTGACTTTTGTTCATCGTTAGTGTTCAGTGTATTGATGACTAGATCCATGAAGACATGGTTCAGGTGACTGTTCATGGAGGCAAGCATCGCTACCATCCGCATTCTCGGCAGAACTTTGCCTACATTGGCTCAGTATATGAAAGAATATCTTCGGGCAATTAGGGTATTGGCTTGGGAAACGGTCCCATCCTAAGGCCCAGGGTCGCAACCTAAGCCAAACCCATGAATTAGGTTTCGGGTCGATCCCGCAACGTGGATGCAGGGACTGAGAAACACTAGATGTGGGATGGAACCTCATCGTCTCCGCAATATCTTTGAGTTTGCGCTGAGGGTTCATCATCCCAGGCTTCAAACATCAAGATCTGATGCCACATTCCATTTCTCGGCAGGGCGGGCCGGCGGTGGAGGTGCTTAGCTAGGCTATTCAGTACCAGTATCGGTATCCCACTCCCATCTCAGAAACAAACGGTGGGATATAAAGTCTAAGAGCTTTGTGGTTACGTCTTAGGAGATATTAATAGAGTTTCAATTAATTCCTCAAGAATGGATCAACTAATCATGCTCCATAAAGCGCAGCACTGGTCGTAACTGACATAATGCGGGCCTGCTGCATGGGTAATCGGGCTCTAACCTTCTAGGCCTCATTTGACTATTGTTTTGGTAGGATTTTTATCCTTCTGACATTTATGGCTTGACACTGAATTGGAGACCTCTCGGCCAAAACCCCTGGAAGAATTCGTTTAGGGATGCCAAGAATTGGAAGGATTCACATCGCTGAGCAGTGATTCGCCACCCACAACAGGCAGCCACTTCCAACCCCAAGGCAATTGGTTGCTTGATTCTCAATCGCTTTATCCTGCTCCACGTCATATTTATCTGTTTCTCCCGCCAGTTCAAATTCCTCTCTGTTCCAAACCAGTGCTCTTTTGGTGCGCGATAAGTCGTCATCTGGCTCGATATTTCAAATCCAACATAGTACGCGCGGCTTTGACATTAATCTTCAATTCAACTTCGCAGTGAAAGCTAGTGTTCTGGACCTGAAGACAACTATGTCCGCGAGTCACAGCGACAGCGACGCTGTCGTGATTGGCCGAGACGACATTAGCGACTACAACCCCGATCAGATTCTGCCAGAGCCGCCCGAGGTAATCGAGAACCTAAGAGCCTGGCTGCAACCCACCAAATATGACGTCGAAAGCGGCGAATATCGAAAGCACCTCTCATCCCATGCCCCAGGCACCGGCGAATGGATCACATCCAACAGCACATATAACCACTGGCTCAAAGATGAAGAGCAAGGACTCTTATGGATCAAGGGAATACCAGGCTCTGGAAAGTCGGTCTTGGCGTCCAAAATCGTCCGAGACCTATCCCAAAATCAACCAGGAACCCCGGTGCTGTACTTCTTCTTTCGGAAGATCATTGACGCCAACCATGAACCGGTTTCGCTGTTGAGAGACTGGCTGGATCAATTGCTGCTGTACAGCCCGCCTCTGCAGAAGCAGATCAAGGGATACGTCGAAAACAAGCGATCTCTCAACAGCATGTCGATGGAAGGTCTCTGGAAAGATCTGCGGATGGCACTTTCCGGATTACATGGGAAAGCATTCTGCATCGTTGACGCTTTGGACGAGATGGATCGGCACCATTGGACGTTCATCCGCGCTCTGGGTGAGCTCGGGACTTGGAAGCCTCACAGAGTCAAATTGCTCGTTACCAGCAGATTCATGCCTGAGATGGAGCCACTCATGAGAGGTTCCAACCATTCTCAGATTCAATTGCAGTCTGATATGGTTGACGTCGACATTGCCAACTATGTTCGAACGAGCTTGGAATCTTCAGATGTATCTCTAGAGGACCAGAAGGTCATCAGGGAGGCTATCCCGGGTCAAGCGCATGGCATCTTCTTATATGCCAAACTCGCCATGGACGCCTTCCTCAAGCCAGGAGCCAATGCCAAGAAGGTTCTGAAAGCTCTCCTTCAGGATATGTCTGCCATGTACTCCAGCCTGCTCCGTGAACACTCTCGGAGGTCTGGTGTTCCCGAAGACGTTCAGCTCTTCATTCTGCAATGGATTACACACGCCACCCGACCGCTTAGCCTACTGGAGATGGCCGATATTATTAATGTCACTCATCCTAGTCTCGTCGATCAAGACCTCAAGCTCAGCAAAGACATCGTGAGAGCCGCTTGTGGCTCTTTATTGGAAATACTGCCCGATGAGACCGTCTGTGTGATTCACCACACATTCACAGAGTACCTCACAGACATCAACAGGAACCACAATTCTGCAAACCATATTCTGACCTCCGGAGAGACGAACGCCAGACTTGGTTTAGCATGTTTGAATTACCTACAGGCCGGTTGCCTTGATGAGATGAGTCCCGAGAAAGACGAATCAGCAAACCACCCTTCAAATAAACCCAGACGCGTCTACAAAAGACTAGACACTGCTGAAGCAAACTTGAAATATCCCTTCGTTGCTTATGCAGCAAGCAACTGGCACGTCCATCTTGCCAAATCGACCTGCGAAGGCTATCCACAGAAGGAGATCAACCGGGCACTAGATATGTTCGTCGAGAGTCCTCATCGGTTGAACACATGGCTCGAGATTCGCTGGGAGGAAGGGATTGGCGGCGTTACCCCTTTGCATATCGCGGCCAGATATGGCTTATCCGAGTGGGTGAGGCATCAGCTGACCGCACCGGGTGCCGCCGTTGACCCTGTAGATGTCAACGGCAGATCGCCACTTTTCTGGGCAGCTGAGTGTGGGATAAAGGACATAGTTAAAGCGTTGATCGACGCAGGCGCGAACCCAGACCGAGATGAGAATGAGGGACTCAGGCCTCTTCATCGAGCTGCCTCAATGAACCATGCAGGGGTTGTCAAAGTTTTACTCGAAGCAGACGTCAACCCGCTGACTCTGAAGACGAAAGAGAATTCTGACAACTGGTGTGGTAACGCATCAAGAACGAAAGGACACACTCCGCTCATGGTCAGTCCAGCTTGGCTGTGCTTATGCACTGCTGAAGAAAGGTTTGCCGTGGGAAGACTGACTTCTCTCAATAGTACGCCTGCCATCATGGACATTTGGAAACAGTCGAGGCGTTTTTGCCCTTCTTACATGACACGAAGGCGCTTCATCGAGCGTTGGCTTGGGCAGCTGAGAGAGGCCAGGACAAGATTGTCAACAGAATCTTGGCGGAGCCTGGCGTTGACATCAACCGCAAAATCAGAGGTGGAACGCCTCTGTTTCGAGCTTGTAGAAGTGGCAGTGCACAGACGGCTCTGCTACTTCTTAAGAGTGGCGCAGACGTTACGATCCAATGTCAACGAGACGAAGAGTTCGGAGGCTCTAATGCGCCAAAATACGACTCCCACGGCGATTCCGAGTCCGATATTGAGGAATCCGAAAACACATCCGACCCACGGAGAAGACGGGATATTACTGCCCTGTACATTGCCTGCGAAGGCCCGACTCGATCTAATAGAACACCTCTAACAAGTGACCCTTTAGCGGCTAGAGAGGTTCTTGAGGCATTCATCGAGTGTGGTGAGAATATCCACCAGCGATTTTCAGATGGATCGACGCTGCTGCATGCGGCAAAAGGCAATCCTGTGTGGATGAGTTTACTGATAGAAAGATCCGTTGACCCAAATATCGCCGACAACAAGGGCCACACACCCCTTCACAATCCGGGAAATACAGACAATATATCTCAACTGATCGAGAATGGCCACGCGAATCTCAACGCGGCAGTACCTTCAAATGGAAAGACGCCGCTCTTCTTCCTCCTCGATTGCAACGCTACATTCGTGACTCTTAAGTTTTTAGAGTATGGCCCGGACTGTAAGGTCGTGGACAGCGAGGGTAATGGGGTGTTGCACGTCGCCCTCGGAAAGTCTAACCCAGACGCAAGAATCATCAAGAAACTGATCGAGTCAGGGGCCGACGTCAATCTCAGAAACAAGTCTGACATGACACCGATGGACGTCATGAGGCTATCAGGCGAATATGCGCAAGAGATATGGGACATGTTACTCAGTGCCGGAGCTGACATCAATGCCAAAGACAAACATGGCTGTACCGCAATTTTCAGGATGGTCAAGTCCCGGACCTCCGATCGCAAAGACCCTCACAGAGACATGAAGGCAATGATAGAACGGGGTGCCACTATCAACACTTGCGATGCCAAAGGTCGCAGTTTGTTGCACGAAGCTGTGAGAAACCATCCTGGGAGCCCAAAGGGACTATTCAATTACCAGGAACATCCCCGACTGGATTTCTTGATCAGCTTGGGGCTCGATCTGCATGTTGTCGACAAAGATGGGAATGGCTTGCTCCACGAACTCAGCTGGCATCCTTTAAATTTCGAGAACTCCACCAGCGTCATTCCTGTCTGGAAGCAGCTCCTGGACCTCGGACTTGACCCTCAGCAGCCGAACAAGAAAGGAAGAACGCCACTTCACAACCTGTCATGTAAGGCTCGTCGAGGGTCGAGCGAACCGGACGCGACGTACCCCTTCGATCTGCTCATCTCACGGGCGGAAACAGTCGACGCTGCTGACGAAGACGGCATTACTCCGCTGCACATTGCCGTCACCGCTTCAGAATACCATACCAAGAAGCTGCTCGACGCAGGTGCTGACCCGAATGTTGCAACCAATGAGGACTTGACCCCACTCCACCTCGCCGTTAGAAGCAGGCAAAGCAACATTGTCGGACTGTTACTAGACTCTCTTTACCAGCTAGCTGGATTTGAAGACGCACGTCGAGGTGCTTGGCTAGCAGATGATTGCCCCCTGCCTATCCCCGGTGTCAATCTTAAAGACAAGAAAGGCCAAACACCTCTTCATTACGCTTGTATATCAGGCCGTCCCGAAGTTGTTGCTATGCTACTCAAGGCAGGCGCCAATGCCAAGGTCGCCGGTCTTCGCGAGGCTTGCGACCTATTCGAAGCGGAAAATGCGCTGTGGGATGCTCCTCATAGGCGTGCCCCTGAGCCAGGAAATGGAGACGCGACTGGTCTCAAACTCTCAGACTTATCCCGTCCCCAATATATCGGCAACAATCATCTCTTAAAAGACACAGCCAGACTCGGTGAGATTATTGACATGCTCCTTGATAGGGGTGCAGACCTCTCATGGCCTTGGGAAGAACGCCGATGGGATGAGAAGCTCGCAGGGATTTCAACTACCTCCTTGGGATGTGGAGATTACACCCTCAGGTGTTGGACTGCAGTATCGCAGAAGCGTCAACTTGGGCCCTCTTGTCACCAATTCGGCCATGAAGAATCACCATTCGATGAGTACCTCGTCAAGTACCGCGATGAGGCCACCATCACAGCGTTGCGGAACTATCATGGTATAAAGAAGGGGAGACCGAATCGAAAGCTACTTTGGTCGATATTAAAGCGACACCAATATTATCTTGTGGAGGAGCTGTTCCACTGTGGTGTCGATTTCTTCGCCGAAAATCAGCGTCTACGGCTCACTGGTCTAGAAGAACTAATACATGGCGGCTTCACGTGTTTGGTGAGTCGCATCATCCAGCTGGAAGCCAAAAAGAGACAAGAAGAGGGCGTCTGCCGTGTAGGAAGGAACACAGAAAATCCGAGAACCGAAATCGATTCTTCCTGGATGCGGAAGAAGGAGTCAGACAATAGTTCCAGGCCATTCATTCTGGAAGCCATCCACACGGAGATTCCAGTTTTCGATGTACTATGTCTTTTAGTTGAAGACTTCGGCGCCGACATCAACGAAATGAGCCGGAGCACCATAAAGTTTGGTAACGATGAGTGGCAGACCATGCAAAGTGCTCTGCATATACTTGCTAGGGGGAATCATTGGTGGCATGTGGCGCAAGCTCTACCATATCTCATCGGACGTGGCGCGAGCCTTGGGCTGAGGAACGACAAGGGACAAACGCCGCTTCACATTGCCCTTGAATGCGGAGAAAAGATAGGAACTGGGCCATTTCACCGCGACGCAGCTCGCCTGCTCATTCTCGGGGGTGCGGACACGAATGCCGTTGACAAGATGGGGCGCACGTGTCTCACATATGCTGGTTCTGACGCAGAGATCATTCGTCTTTTGATCGAGCATGGGGCTGATATTAAAGCCGACGTCCTCTTTGCGGCAATTGACAGACAAGATGATAAAGTGCTTGGGGTGCTACTGTCGTCAGGCGTTGACCCAAACATGAGACTGGAACGGAGTCCCATGGGTACTTTCAAACTTGATTCTAGAGGACTCACTGTGCGTCGTTGGAACGACGATGAAATCCCAAACTATGAGTGGTATCCGCTCCATCATGCGGCAACAAAGATGTACCCCAAAGGGAAACTAGGGAAACCGGCGCCGAGGGAAGAATGGCCAGCCATTTCCCAGGTTATCCGAGTTCTTCTGTCCTGCGGCGCTGACCCCTTTGCAGAGTTCACCAGATGCACAACAGCAGACTGCGATCACCAAAGGCTTGCCCGCCTTAGACCATTCAATATCTCCAAAACCGAAACAGCGGAAAACCCAAGCGATACACCGGGAAGCCACGAAAGATGTCTGGTATTACACGAGCTGCTGGCTGACAGCCATGCTACGTATCAATGCTTATCATTGGAAGGCATCGATCCCAATCACCGAGATGGGAAGAATCGAACCCTTCTCCTAGCTGCGTGTTCCTCCAAGCGAGGTCCAGACATGCCATTTGACCCGGAAGTTGAAAAAGAATGGAAAGAAGACGACCCCACAGGGATCACGCTTTTCGAACGCCTCATCGAACTCGGGGCCGATCCTGAGGCGCGAGACGTGGATGGGAGTAACGCCTTGCATCACATGCTTCAGTTCCGACAAGGCAGAAATAGCAGCGTCCCGTCGATGATGAAATCGCTTTCCTACATTGCACGATCTCATCCGTCATCCGTCAACCACAGACACAGGAACGGCAAAACACCACTTCACCTTGCCGTCGAACGCGCCCTCTACGAAAAGAAGACGACATACGCCGACCTGCTGCTTGACGCTGGCGCAGACCCTCTGATCACCGACAACGACGGAAATACCGTCCTGCATATCCTGTGTCGAATGCTATGGATTTCCACCTTACGGCCCCTCTTCGAGAAGCTCATCAAGCACGGCTGCGACGTCAATGCACGCAACCTTCAAGGCGAGACGCCGTTGTTTTGTTACTTTGGCGGGTTCACGCCAGGCGAGAAGCATTTCTATAAAATATACCGCGATATAAAGACCTACGACGAAGCAGGCGCAATTGCTGTTCTAAAGGCCGCTGGTGCGGATTTCTCGGCCCAGCGAAACGATGGTCAGGGGTTGCTCCACATCGCGGCCAAGGGACACGAAGTGAGGTTCAGGAAGCTTCTCGATGAAGGGCTGGACCCCCTGTTGGAGGACGGTGAACGCAAGACTGCGTTGAATGTTGCTGCTGCATGCCATAATACAGGCGTGTTGAAGCTGTTCAAGCGCGGGGAGACTGAAGACCGGGGAAGCAGAAGCTGGATGGATGCTGATGCCATCTTTGGTCTCAGATGATGGGCTTGCTCGGGCGCATAGAGTTACTTTATGTGGGAAATGTTTCCAGGTTGTTAACACCTGCAGTCTAATCATCATCCCTGTCGTCTGTAGGAATATTCACTGTGTGCACTTCGGAAGCGACTGGGGCGCGCGGCTTGCGCGGTTTCCGCGAGTGTTCTTTGGCCCGCTAGCCGAGGTCTTCGGCGGCAGACGAGTGTAGATGGCATTTCTTGGCGACAGTGAACCCTTGTCATTTCCATACCAAGCCCGAGAGACGCGCCGTTGCTCCAGTTCCAAGTTTGTACCGCGTAGTTCTAGCATGATCAGCGGCTACGATTGCCTGGGTTCAATCATGTGAGTTTGGACTTGAACTGTCAAACTTCCCCACGGGGAATGGACTCCGCAGGTTCATCTGGACTAGGCAATTGCCCGTGGGGAAATGGTCTAGACTCTATTCTGCACGAAAGTTCTGTCTGGGTAAGGTGTCTTGGTGGTAAAGATAATTTCATCAGGTGAGGGAATAAACTGTTGGGCTCATGTCTATTGAGTTACCTCACGGGGAGTATCGGCTGTGGAGTGTCGGCGTCGGCAAAACGTGGAGTATCGGCCACGGCTACTTGGACGGGAACAAGACGGCTAGGTTGTTTGGCAAGGAGGTGCCTGGCCGCGAGTGAGCTGAGATGGAGGACGCATCTGCCGATGTCAACACCGGAGCGTTCCTTGGCCATGTCGCCTTACTGGTTGCAGAAATTGGAGATCACCGAGAGGCAGCCAATTGCGACCGCGTTCCTGGCTTGATCCGGGGGGATCGTGTGGGGAACAAGGACTTTGAGACTGAAGATGCGGGGAGTTAGGTGACCGGGGTCAGCGGTACTGCTTGAGACTTGGACTTTGGGGTTGATTGCCTGCCGAGCGTGAATGATCCAAAAACCAGAGAGAAAATGGCAGCGGGATAACGTTTAGGTGTTGTCTTGCCTATATCGCCGTGATTGAGTTGTAAATTAAGTGTACCAACGACATCTGGACTTCATTGGCATCCCGTCATGGGCAAAGAAGACCCGTTGTGTGGCCCCGCCATGCTCTGGACTCCTCCGGCGGATACACCCGCCGCCGCTAAATGAAGCAAGAAACTGTGAGGTTGATGGCGTTCTGGAAGGGACATTACTTTAGAACTGACCGTCATGTTCTATGTTGGCTCTCAAGTAGGTGAATTTGTTTGCGCGAACTGAATTCCATCTCGTGATTGATGACTTCGAGTCTAACACAATCTTGACACAGCCACGCCGACTCCCTGTAGGAACGAGTCAACAAAGCTAGCCACATGGTTTGAAAAGGAAGGGCCAACCGCTTTTGTGACTTGGCATTGGCTGCAACTCTCCGCATTCAAAGGCCCGACTGAAGAACATCGGTCTCCGCGTTTCCCCAGCGGCGCAGAGGCCCAACCCAGTTTGAATCCCCCACGAATCCACTTCGAGGCCATGGAACAATACCTGTCAAAAGCGAAAGAGACCTTGTCTCGCGCGTTCGCGGCCTGATCAACCGCGTCATTGGCCCACCTCCGCAGTTGCATGAACAGGGAGCTATGCGGGATATTCTCCTTGATACCCCATGAATGAGATGAATTGTCCGACGTTCTAGCGAATGCATCCATCTCCCTGTAAGTCGCAGGCTAGGGGCATCTCGGTCCACGCCAAGATGATACAACGGGGCGGCATGGGACGTCGAAATGCTTTAATAGCCATGGCTTCGCCCTCTCGATTCCTCGAAATTCTGCCCGGGCCCAGAGCCGCAGTTCTCTCGACAACTACCTCACCTCCTCTCCCGACCTACCCAGACTTTCAATATGGGCCGAAAGAACTCAGCAAACGCAAAGGCCGTCGGCGCCGAGCTGGCCGCCGTCCTCCCGGACATTGGTCCGTGGTACAAGCAGCCGCACATCCTGCGCCTCAACCTGTGCATCATCTCCATCATGATGTGCGCCTCGGCCAACGGATACGACGGTTCCATGATGAACGGCCTGCTCGCGCTACCGCAATGGCACGCCTTCATGAACCAGCCCACCGGCCCGTGGCTGGGATTCGTCAACGCGGCATACTCCCTCGGCAATGTCCTCGTATACCCGGCTGCCGCGTGGGTGTGCAACAAATATGGCCGCAAGGTCGGAATATATATCTCATGGGTGTTTCTGGCAATCGGTACGGCGGTGCAGACGGCGGCCCCGAATGAGGGCGCTTTTGTCGCCGCTAGGTTTATCATTGGCTGTGCTTCTGGGTTCTTCCTCTCGGCGCCGCTGCTGATCACCGAGAATGCGTATCCTACTCACCGTGGAGTTGTATCCTCACTCTACAACTGTTAGATCCACTGCTCATCTCTTCTCGACAATGTTTGTGCTGACTCTATAAAGGTATGTGGTATGCTGGAGCTGTTGTCGCGGCTTGGTGCACCTTCGCCACGAGGCATCTCACCGAGTGGTCTTGGAGGATGCCATCCCTCCTGCAGATCGCGCTCCCGCTCCTATCAGCTCCGGGCCTGTTTCTTATCGGCGAATCGCCTCGATGGCTCGTCTCCGTAGACCGTATCGACGAAGCTAGGGTGGTCATTGCCAACGCACATGCTGGCGGCGACATTAACTCTCCTTTGGTCAACTTCGAGATGATGGAAATCGAGGAAACGATCCGCGCGGAGAGGGAGGCGCACACCGCCACGACGTGGGCCGATCTCTACAGCACGCCTGGAAACCGGCACCGTCTGTTTATCTCCGTTAGTTTGGGAGTCTTTGCGCAATGGTATGTCGGCTTTCAATCCCTCCCATTACTTCTGGTAACTAACTGGTGATAAAGGTGCGGTGTCGGCGTTATCTCGTACTATTTGGCCCTCGTCCTCTCATCAGTAGGCATCAAGTCCGTCGACGACCAAACTCTCATCTCGGCTTGCATCCAAATTTGGAACTTGATCTGCGCCACCAGCGCCGCCATCATGGTAGATAAAATCGGAAGACGAGCTCTCTTCCTGGCATCGGTGAGTTCCTAAACATGTATCTCCGAGACCTACTGCTGACCATCGTACTATTCAGGGCACGATCATGCTCATCTCCTTCTCCATCGTGACCGGCCTCTCCGGCAGCTTCGCAATGACGGGCAACGCACCCACCGGCACGGCCGTCATCCCGTTCCTCTTCATCTTCTACCTCGGCTACGATATAGCCTTGACGCCCCTCATGGTAGCTTACCCGGTCGAAATCTGGCCGTACCGCCTCCGCGCCAAGGGTCTCACGGTGGCGTTGATGGTCAGCTTGGCCTGTGTGTTTTTCAACACCTTCGTCAACCCCATTGCCCTAGAGTCTATCGCATGGAAATACTACCTCGTTTTCCTTGCCGTGCTAGTCATCATGCTCGTGAGCGTCTGGTTTGGGTACCCCGAGACTCGTGGTCGGACGCTTGAGAACGTGGCGTATCTGTTTGATGGAGAAGACGCGGAGGTTGGAACTGGCACGGCAGAGGGCGCGTTGAAGCAAGCGGAGGCTGCGCATGTTGGTGAGGTTGCGCATGTGGAAGAGACCGAGAAGAGATAAATAGTAGAGGTCTGTTTGTCTCCTACTAGTGGTCAGAAAGCAGTAGCTTCAGAGGTGCATCGGGGGCACCTTCTGTCTGAAGCCAACGAGAAAAGGGTTTTCATTTGATGACTCCTGGTCCGATGCTGTTTCTGTAATCGCTATCCCATACTGCATCCTGCGTCACCGCCATCGAGTCGCCAGAAACAACCTTTTCTTGTCTCCATGTGCGTTTTGCGGGACTGGTTCTGGCCGTCCATCCCAACGCTATTTTCATTTCCCTCAAACCACTGGGAGGAGATTCAAAGTTATTTTTCAGGCCATGTGCATAGACTTCAGGGCACTTCGACTGATTGCACTATCTAGACACATTCTAACTCACCAGGCCGCAGTTAGTGTTGCCACCGCCGTCCATCCGCCTAAACCTACGTTGAGCAAGTATCCGGGAATCCGGACGACCAATACCATTCCTCGAGTATTGCAATTCAATTCTCCAATCCAAACCAGCATCCAAAAAGAGATCGCAAAGCACATTGGCCTACTACATCTCTATCCCTGAGTGGACCCAAGGGAAGACTTAATCCGCAACCCACTTCGAGGTGAGCTTGGCCGGGGATCGATCCCGGGATCTTTCGGCAACGTGGTGTGCGTTCCGAAAGCCATACACCAACTAGGCCACCTACGGTGTCTTCGACGACGACGACGAGGAGGAAGCTGGGTGATGTCGCAGGCGGTGGGGGAATGTGAGAAGGGCGAGAGCGGTTGGGAAAGACTGCGGAAGTTACGAAGAAGGGAACGTGGAAGGACTGACACAGACGGGGAAGGATAGCGAGGTTGTGATGCAGTGGCGAGGGTGGAGCAGGAAGGAGGATGTCGCGAGACCGGCAGGTGCAGACATGGGCGAAGCAGCCGCTGGGCAGAAACGAGCAGGAGCAGCAGGCGTGAGAAGGGAACAGGGCAACAACAATTTTAGAGCAGGAGGGAGGAGGCACGGATGAGCAGTGACATATGGCAAATGGAAAGACCAGGACTGAAGCGCCTGACCATGTGAACAAGCTTACTTCAATGCGTTGGGAATGGGGGGAGTCAACAGTGGGATGTCTCCATTCAATTGATTTGCTAATCTTGAGCGACGCGAAGGATGAAATAACATATCACAGAATGCCTCAAGGGGTCGACCAAGACCTGCACAAAGAAGGTCTTGGCCTGGAACTGCACCGTGCTGGGTTCCGCACGACCAAAAGTACAACTTGAGGGTAAACTTCAATGAATTCACCAGGAGACCGACAAGCGCACAGAGACATTCAGGTTTGCATGAAGCCTGTGTTTCAAGATGAAGATGTTGGATTGTATGAGGCTGCAGGAAACTATTTGCGCGTAGGGGCAAGGTGTCCCTGCGAAAGCAAAGTGAAGTACAGGAGCGAAAAGAACGGGAGAGCAAGAAGACATCAGAAGGTCGCCAACACCA